CGGGCTGCCGCCGCCTCCTCCACGTCGGGCGGTCGCGGCGCTGAGGCCCGACAGGGTGGCCGCGGGCGTGGTGGGCCTGTCGGGGCCGTCGAGGGCGGCGCCTTGGGGTCGGCCGGCAGAGGGCCCGAAGGCAGAGAGGGAATCCCCGGCACAGAAGCGCGGGCCCCGGGATCGGTGGGCTCGGAGCGGATTCCGAGTTGAGGTGCGCGAACAGCGGCGGTGCGACAGCCGTCGCCCTTCCAGCCCGGGCTCTGCGCTGCGTGATGCCTCTCCCGCTTCCCACCCCTGTCTTGTGCAGCCCAAGGTGGCGTTCCGCGGAGGTGCGAATCGCTGCTGGAACCTCGGTGCGGACCCCAGCAGTAGACTAACGGATGTGTTCAACAGCGTGATGCTGACTGGCTCCACTTCCTTCTACGATTGCTACAAATCGCAGGTCCATCCTTTGTTAGAGGATTTTTTTTTCCGAAATCAAAGTCGTTTACCTGAGCCCATTCACTTAGGTGTTTAAATTTCTCCCAGGTTTAGGACCAAAAAGCCAGGAACATTTTCTTTCTTTTTCTTTGTTCCCTTTCTTCTTTTCTTTCTCTCAGCCGGTAACATTTTCAGTAGAGTCTGCCCAATACATATTTTGCTTGGAAAACAAGTTGAGGAAGATTTTTCCATTGATTCTTGGTATCATTTTGTTCTCAGTGTAACATGAGGCCAGAAATGTAAGAAAATCCCGATTTACTTAGTAAGACAATAAAATAGTTTTTCCTTCAAGCATTTATTGCAAGCAAGTCAGCACAAACATACTTTTGATCATTTGAAGGTGAAATTTTTCTGTACTCCTTCATTTTCTGGCTGTAACTGTGTCTTAGATGACATGCTGCCTTTCACCTCACCTAAAACATTTAGTTTTATTAATCATATTAAATTAGGCTTAGGGTAGTGTAAGTCATTTTCATTTGAAATTATTTAACTGGAACATCAGTGTTGATATTGTTATACTTTTAATTATAACAATATCCCAAAATAAATAATTTTATCTAATCCATAATACAACTTTGTATAGTATTACATCTAGTGTACAGACTGAGAAACTGAGGCTCAGAGAGCTTGATTCATGCTTTAAGTGACAAAGCCCAAGTGGAACACAGGTCTTTTCACTGCCAAGACCAGCATTCCACTGTTCTCTACAATGTTTATACAGCTCCTAAAATTTACTTGGATTTAATTTCAATCAATTAACTATGGCAAGGATATAAGTGATACATTTTGCAGTTATTTAGACTGATTAATATGCCATCCCCAAGCATTTGCATATTTAATTCGCATAAATGTTTTAACTGAAAAGGATCCAGATATTTAAAGTATAATTATGTTTGAATCCACCATGTTACTTTAGCTGCTTCTTTTATCCTAGAATACAAAATTGAAATCAATCTTACAAAAGGAGTTAATTTTTCTAATCCTCAAATCTTACTTTAAAATGTAAAATGAACTTGAAAGAATGCTCCTAAAATACAGTTAGTTTCAAATACTGTATATCTTGTTTGATATTGCATAATCTGAAAATACTTCTTTTAAGTCACTATCTTAAAAAGATGAACAATTACTTACAGCACTTTGGATGTTTCACACCGAAAAGAGAGTTAAGGTGAGCCTATGATAAAATCTTCAGAAAAGGAATAAAATGATGAAAGGTTCTAAAGATAAAAGCCTTTGTAAAAGTTATTGCTAACTAAGAAATTCTGGAAAAGTATTTTTTTAGTGACACACTTAGCAAAATTACTTTGGTACCTCCGTTTCTGCAGCTTCAGAATAGTCAGCATGATGTATATAAACAAGACAGTTATAATGTGTAGTTTTCAAATAGCAGTCATAACCAGAATTTAAACAAATGGTTGTAAAATATTTGAGATTCTTAAAGATGCGTGATTGGAAGAGATTTTCATATTTTTTGGTATAGTATAAACTCTTTTATGTTTAAAGAGTTATATTTCAATTATGTCTATGATGAACAAAAATTTAGAATTCTTTGATCTAACTATGTCTTCTCTATATAAATTTTGATTGAGTATAAAAGCAATTAGAAAATATTTTCAGTCAGGATTATATTTTCTTTGTATTTATAAGAAAATGCCATTTCTACTATATCTGAATATTTATAGTTATTACATCTCAGGTTTCATTTGGAGAGTTAAAAATTGTGAATCTATACTTTCAGACTTCTTTAAAGAAGCATTTTCTAGAATAAAATACATCTAAGTTTAATCTTCATATAATTTGTTAAATTCATTCTATTTTAAGTATCTAAAATTATTTTCACTGAACATCCCTTTTGGAAAGAGGCAGTATTTTATTTTATTTTTATTTTTTTAAAGATTCCATTTATTTATTTGACAGAGGGAGAGAAAGCACAAGCAGGGGGAGCGACAGGCAGAAGGAGAGGGAGAAGCAGGCTCCCCGCTGAGCAAGGAGCCCGATGCGGGGCTCGATCCTAGGACCCTGGGATCATGACCTGAGCCGAAGGCAGACGCTTAACCAACTGAGCCACCCAGGTGCCCCACGAGGCAGTATTTTAAATCAATAAAATCTTAAAATTCAAATTTTTTACCTTATTTACTCAAAGTTCATTATAGAAGTATTCACAAAAAAAGAAAAATGAGCTTGTATTTTTCTTCTAATTGTAGTAATAGCCTTTAAATTTCTAAAGAGATCATAAAATTTTATGTATCATCATCTTTATAATATCTCTTGGCAATAGACACTAGGCTGAAAATTGAAGATATTATTTAAAAGGTCCTACAGAAAAAAAATAAATAAATAAAAGGTCCTACGGTAGGAGTAAGGCCTTGAGTTTGGGTTTAGTTGTGTCACCTATCCGCTCAGTAACCTGTAGCCTCAGTTTCCCTCTTTTTAAAATAGAGTATTCATGTCACAGGTTGAATGAATATGTTATTTGAAAATTCTATATAAATAAATGACATTCACTTTTTTCACAGATTGGGGGCATTAGAATTTTGCAAATAATTTCTTGAAAATAACACTGCTAGTGTCCACACAATGCTCATCTGTTCAAAGAAGTTAGAAGTGCAGTAACTGTAGGTGTTTCATACCAGGGATAAGCAACAAGTACAGATCAGATCTGCTGAGTGCCTGATTGTGTAAACAAAATCTTATTGGAACACAGCTATGCCCTTTACATATTGTCTGTAGTTTGCTTTGGTGCTAGAATAGCAGAGCTGAGGAGTTTCAACAGAGACCATAACAGCTAGTAAACCCTAAAATATTTATTATCTGTCCCTTTACAGAAAAAATTCACCAACCCCTAGTAGAAAACAAGCTTAAGTGGCTAAGTCTAGATTTTAAGTCTTCCAGCTCTTACACATGTGTTATTTCCTCTAATTTCTTATTATTTCACTAATATTCTGTAATAAATGTAATTTTGATGTGTCTGATATGCAAACATGTCTTTAAAATTTCAGAGTGAAGACAGTGTTGACCTACGGCAGACCTATACTCCACTTTCTTCATCAGCAGAATATTCAAGTTCTGTAGATTCTTCACTTTTCTATGCACCATGGTCTACTTATGGAGATGATATTAAACAGCCTTCTAATTCTCAGATCAGTGTAAAGAACAGGTAAATTAATAAATCAGATTTTTCAGGTTAAATGAAGTTTTTTTTAAGTTTGATTACATAGGAACCCAGTTGTATTAGCTCTTTGTTCCCTATATCAGCACTTTAATGTCATGACATTACAATTTTATGTTTATTAAACTTTTAGAAACCCTAAACTGGGCAGTTATGTGTATATAATTTTTAGCTCATTACTTTTTTTTTTTATTCATTAGAGGCAACACTTAGTGAGTAGATCTTAAATTCCTCTAAGGATAGCTTATATAAATGAGTTACAATTTTTTATCTATTTTTTTCATCCAATTCTAAATTTTCAGTAATTATTTCCTTCACAAGTATACAACAAATGGGATTTTATCAAATATAAGATACTTTTATTTATTTATTTATTTATTTATTTATTTTTTTAAAGATTTTATTTATTTATTTATTTATTTATTTATTTTTTT